AGAGGACACAATTTCACCAGGAGTGGGGCCACTGGTATCTGAAACAAACAACACACTTTGTTAGGTTCCAAAAGCAACACAGTGCAGGATTCCGGAGATCTGAAACCAACACAGAGAGCGCTGGATAAACTCAGCAGGTCTGAGAGCATCTGTGGAGAGAGAGAGAGCGAGAGAGAGTTAATGCTTTGAGTTTGTTGACTCTGCATCAGTCTGCTTGCCTTCCTGGCAAGTGTTTCTATCAGATAAGAAGCATGCTGCATCAACTGATGAAGTTTAGTTCCTTTTTCTTTGTGTTTCAGTGACAGGCAGACCATTTGACTTGTCTCTGCGTGGTCAGTGTCATTTCCTGTTCTTCTGACCCAAGATCATCTCACAGATGCTGCTAGAGTTTCCCTGTGACCCAAACATTCAGAGCTGCAGACTGATCTGAAGAAGCCAGACCCTGATCTTCCCCTTTAGATTGCTTCGCTGGTTCCTGGGGTGGGGTGGGTGGGGAATCAGTCCCTTGAGGGTCATGTACCCTTTGGGAAGGCTGTGCAGAGGTAGGTCGTGTTTGTCCGGTTTATTGTTGGGAGAGAAGGGGAAGGGAAAACTGGGGGCAATTCACTCTCTTTGGTGAATCGATTGGAGAGATTGATCCTCGTGTAAAGTCCACTAATGAATGAAACAGAAATGCCTTAAATGCTGAGCGAAGGATGTTATTAAGCTGTAAAGAGTGTTGAAAAGATTTACAACGATGTTATCGTGACTGGAGGGCTTAAGGTATAGGGAGAGGTTGATTAGGCTGGGATCCTTTTTTTCCCAGGAGTGTGGAGGCTGAGGGGTGACCTTATAAAGTTTGTTTAAATCATGAGGAGCATAGATTAGGTGAATAGCCAAGGTCTTTTCCCCAAAACTAAAGGGCATAGGTTTTAAGATGAGAGGGGAAAGATTTAAAAGTGACTTGAGGGACAACTTTTTCTCACAGAGGGTGATGCGGCTATGGAATGAGTTGCTGGAGGAAGTGTAGAGGTGGGCACAATTACAACATTTAAAAGACATTTAGACAGGTACATGGATTAGATGGATATGGGCCAAACGCAGGTAAATGGGACTAGGATAATTTGGGAAACCTGGTTGGCATGGACAGGAAGGGTCTGTTTCTGTTCTGTATGACTCTGTTTGATGAGTTCCTTTTAATTGCTGCAGTTAAAGGGTGAAAATTGTGGGGAAAAGGGGAGGTGGGGAGAAACCAGTTTGTAACAATCTCAGGGAGATGGCTGGTTAGAGATTACAAATATCCATGATCGAATGGCCTCATTCCCTGCTCAATGAAACCACGATGCCATTTATTTTCTTTTTCAGGAAAGTCGGAGGTGAAATTAATTGAATTCCTGAAGTATTTACCCTCCCAGAGAGAGCGAGGTTGACTTTACATTTGGACTCCACGCGATGCATGTGAAGGTGTTTTACCTGCTCATTTTCTGTAAGTGGTTGTTACATATTTATGTATAAATGAAACATTGTGTGCATTTATCTCCCGGATTAATCACATGTGAACGAGATGCCAGGGCCGTGCTGTTAGGAGGAGCTAAAATAATTCAAACTGATATGCGTTTTCGAGCCTGCAATTAAAATTTCTGGAAGCGAGGAGGGTGAGGTGAGGGAAAGCAAGATAGATGGGGGCAGGATGAAGGGAGAGAAAGGGATGATGACAGAATTGAGAGAGAGAGAGTGGGATGGTGACAGGACTGAGAGAGAGAGATATGGAGTCACATTCAATGTTTTGGACCCGACAGCTTACTGTGGCAGAGAATCCCACAGTCTCCCGCTCTCTGGGTGAAGACATTTTTCCCCATCTCAGTATCTCAGGCCTACCCCGTCCCCTTTAGACTGTCACCGCCCACCCCCCAACCCCGGTTCTGAACTGCCCCATCGTGACTGGGAACATCCTTTATTTTTGATGGGTACAGTCTGGATGGATCGAAAGGCATCTCCAGTACTGTGAGAGTCTATCATATTAAAGTGAGCATTCCTGATCATGTACCATCATCCAGATTTCAATCTTGCTTTCATCAGTCAGACCACTGATTATAGGAGTTGAAACGTTATGTTGCCATTGTACAGGTCATTGGTGTGGCCTCTTTTAGATTACTGTGTATAATTCTGGCTGTCCCGCTATAGCAAGGATATTATTAAATTAGAGAGGGTGCTAAGGGGATTTGCAAAGCCAAGTGAAGGCACTTGTGACTACTTTATTATGGGAAACCTGGTCGGCATGAATGAGTTGGGCCAAGGCATCTGTTTCCATGCTGTATGACTCCAGAACTCTATTGCGAGATGATCCAAGCTATTGATCTGAACATATTGAACAGGCATCTCCATTCATTGAAGCTCCATCCCCAGGACCCTTCCTTCTCACCTCTCAGTTAAGCTCTCCCACTTCCTCTTCTATTCCCTATTGCAAAGTATTACCCAGCTCCATTCTGACATTCCGGACTCAGCTTTCCATTCAGATGTCAGTCCACGGAGCCCCTCACGGGCTACGGTGCTTCTGAAGCAAACGTACAAACTTGTCGCAAAAAAAAACCAATGTACCCCTTTGACAGGCAAAAATCCTGCCCCAAAACCTGTAGCTACAGTATTTTAAACAGCAGATTCCTCTTTATGAGCAAATGACACATGATTGCGCGGGTGTGTGGATCATTCCGCAGAGGTTATAATTCAAAATGAGAACATTCACAGATGTAACGGCAAATTTTCTTTTTTTTTAACAGTCAGAACCACTTCATATTTGGACGCCCAAGGTAAGTTGAAAATGTTACATTAAATGACTGCACGCAGGGGGTGATCGAGGTTTCGATCTCTGTTTTACAAACCACAGTCGTACTTTTCAATATGACAGAGTTTTTTTGCTTAAGGTAATAAGGGGATAAGGGCCAAAGGCAAGTTAATGGAGGCCACAGCTCAGCCATTGAATAGTGGAACAGGCTCAATGGGTGGAATAGTGGCTCAATGGTTAGCACTGCTGCTGCACAGCGCTGGGGCCCCGAGTTTGATTTCAGCCTCAGGTAACTGTCCGTGTGAAGTTTGCACATTCTCCCTTTGTCTGTGTCAATCTTCTCCAGGTGCTCCCGTTTCTTGGCACGGTCCTAAGACATGCAGGTTAGAATCATGGGATAACAAGGTGTAGAGCTGGGTGAACACAGCAGAAGGGTCCAGACCCAAAACGTCAGCTTTCCTGCTCCTCTAATGCTGCTTGGCCTGCTGTGTTCATCCAGCTCTACACCTTCTTATCTCAGATTCTCCAGCATCAGCAATTCCTACTATCTCTGAACAGGTTAGAATGATGCTCCCCTTCCCCTCCCCATCCCTGCCCAATCTTTGAGAGAAGCCATTCCTCCTCCTCTCTGTTTTCAATCTGCCCCAGCCCCTTATCCTGACATGGTGACTTCTCGTTCTAGATTGTCCCACATGAGGAAACAACTTCTCCCTATTTTCTTTGTCAATTCACCCACTCCCTTTAGTATTTTATATTCCTCAGGTAGATCTCCTCTCATTCTTCTAAACTCCAGAGAGTATCAGCCAAAACTGC